TCACCTTTCCGATTCTTAAAATATACTTCACGCCCAGCTCTCTCCTACATTACGAGGTGCTCCACGATTTGACGATTCGCGCCCTCCGATTCGAACAAGCCGCCGACTACTTCACCCTTTCACGGCACGTTTGCCTCCCCCCGCTGCCGACTTCACCTGATCGCGCAGTCTTGGACGCGGCGCTTTCCTAATGTTCAGTCGGTCTCGGAAGGGTTCGAAAGGGTTCGGCTTTGGATCTTCAAGCACCAAAGACAGTCAGGTTAACCACCTTCTCGATCTTGGTCTTGTGAGCCCCAAGGCCATTCAAGACCCCTACCGTCCTGGTACCGCTACAACGACAAGGACAAACAATACGTGGACGGATGCGCCGTCCTTTCCAGAGAAGAGTACGTAGGCCCCCATTTGACTCCGATGCATGACTGCTCAAGCGTCGCGAATTGACTTTCCGTCCGAACGACCGACGCTCAATCTGTTGCTTGACGTCCAAACTTGGGGAAAAGTTACTCTTGCTAATCATTCTGCACACAGACGTCTCAATAGCTCGCGGCACAGGACAGCGCTCCAACGCATCAGTTCGATCCGGAGACAGCGCACATCGAAGAGGCGATAGCTACTCATCCAACAACATGGCATCAGGCGCCGGCCGCAACAGGAGGGAGCGCACCTTTGTAGGGAGCGAATGCGCAGTATGCGAGGAGCCATTGGAGCACACCCTGCGCGGAGAGCGCATTCTACAGTTCTCGTGCTCGCACGTATCTCACGAAGCTTGCTTCTACGAGTTTATTCGCGAATTCGAATCGCAATATTGCCCCTCATGCGATGCGCCTCTCCATCTCGACACTAGTCGGGGCGGCAATGTCTTGGATATTGGTAAGCGCACTCTCATGTCTTGCTCGCCTGAGACATGGCTAATTCTTTTGCAGAAAAAATCAGCAACCTCGTTCGATCTGTCTCATCCACCGACACTAGGTCAAATCACACCCCTACGCCCACGGCTACGCCATGGGACAACCCAACGCCCACTCCACGCCCCACCAGCATCGAGTCAAACCAGCGAAATATGGCCAGCACCCACACCCGCGAAAGCGCGCCCCGAAGCACTGGACGCGACAGGGAGAGCAGCCAGCCACCGGCTTCCGAGAGGTACGGCCCTTCAAGGCACGCTCGCAGCGATAGCGAGGCCACCGGCGTTGCGTCGTCTGGTGGTTACCCCGAAACAACCCAAAGCGGCCCGCCGCGCAGACACGATTATGACGTCCAGGCAATGGAGACCACACCGGGTAGCCCCCGCGCGATTACGAGGAATCCGATCCCGGCACCGACAGTGACGGTTCGATCCGAGTTTCCTACCATCAACAGGTCTCGGCAGCAGCAGACTTTGACCTGCCTTATCACCGTAGAAGTACCCGACAACAAGTGGCGGCCCGATCCCGAAGATCTTGGGTCAGCCCCGCCAGGCCCGCCTGCAGTGAATGCCCGAATCGACGAGGCGTTTGCGCGACCGCCCTCCCCGGCCCGAAGTGCGCCTCGATTCTATCCCTACGAGTCTCGGGAAGTACTGGAGGAACAAACCGAGAATTTGAGAAACCGTGTGGACAACTGGCATGGGCTCGATTTCAGCAGGTGAGATTTTGGCACACATTCCGTGCATGCCTGCGGCCAATGACATGACTGACACACCCCAGATTCGGCAAACTGCGGCTCTATGGCACACTACGTGTCGGCAAGGATAAAGCATCCTGGCAGGAGCTGGAATGCTTCCTGTTCGCTGAAATGTTGATTTGCGTAAAGGAGAAGAAGGTAGCCCTCGCAGGGCAGTGGGATGAAAACGGCATGCCCAAGAAGACCACCCGTTGCACACTCAAAGGATCCATTCTCATCAAGAAACATCTCAACGAGGTCTCCGAAACGGGCAACAGTGAGACACCTTCCTTTTTACCATTCAGGCCTGGACGTTAACCATTCGACAGTTGATGAGAACATTCTTACACTCAACCTTTCTGTCGCGGAGCTGCCGCAGTTCCACCTTAGATTTGAGAACCGCAATCAGCTCAAGCTGTGGCACCAAGCGCTACTCGACTTGAACGCTGTCGAAACGTCGCCAGTCCGCAGTCCAGAGTACGACCGAGGAGAATTCTCCGAGACGGACGAGGATGACTGGCAGCGTGGATCGCGACAGCAAAGGGTGTCGTCAATTGCCTCGTCATGGGGCGGCCCTAAATCCACCACAACGGCGCCCACCGAGTACACCAACTTCCAGAGAAGCCCGACAATGCCGGCTTCCATCCACGTTCCTATCGACGTGGTCGTGGTCGTCCCCATCTCATCGTCGATGCAAGGCGTCAAGATCAACCTGGTTCGCGATGCTCTCAAATTCATGGTCAACACCCTCGGCGAGAGAGATAGGATGGGACTGGTCACCTTTGGATCGGGCGGCGGCGGCGTACCCATCGTGGGCATGACCACAAAGGCGTGGCCCGGTTGGGGCAACGTATTGGGCTCCATCAAGCCGGTTGGGCAAAAGAGCCACCGCGCCGACGTGGTTGAGGGTGCCAATGTCGCCATGGACTTGCTCATGCAGCGCAAGTACAACAACCCGATCGCTACCATTATGCTCATCAGTGACGCCTCTACTTCGGACGCCGACAGCGTCGACTTTGTCGTGTCGAGAGCCGAAGCAGCCAAGATCACCATTCACTCCTTTGGCCTCGGCATGACGCACAAGCCCGATACCATGATTGAGCTCTCTACCCGCACCAAGGCATCTTACACCTACGTCAAGGACTGGATGATGCTTCGCGAGTGCCTTGCCGGCTGCCTCGGCGCCATGCAGACACTCTCTCACCAAAATGTGAAGCTCAAGCTGAAGCTGCCTGAAGGATCTCCGGCCAAGTTCCACAAGATCAGCGGCGCCTTGCAGATTACCAAGCGCGCCACGGGTCGTGACGCTGAGGCCTCCCTGGGCGATCTTAGATTCGGTGACAAGCGCGACGTCTTGGTGCAGCTTGTCATTGTGCCGGATAACACGTCTCAGGAACAACTGCCGCAGGATCCTTGGGACAACATCGTCTCGGGTCTGGAGGCGCTCGGCGGAGCTGGCGATGGCGACGACCAGCGGGTGACATCTGTCGAGGAGGTGCCTCTCATCCAGGCCGACCTTACATGGGGTGACATTCTCCGAGATGGCACGCTCTCCCATCTTCCCCGCCCGTCTCTGCTAGCCATCACTATGCTTCCGGCCCAAGCGAAAAACAAGAATTCGTGGGCAGGATCGCCCCCGATCCCCCCTCACCCGCACATCGTCCAGCGGCGCATGGAGCTGCTGACGTCGGATATGCTAACCCGCGCCTTGACCCTCGTGTCACGCGGTCAGCACGACCGAGCGCACACTCTACTCAACGAGACCCGATCTATTTTGAAGGGTCTCGGAAAAGGCGGTCTGCCTCCGATCCCTCCACCCACGGCACCGCCAACGAGATCCCTCCCATCCACCCCGCACCCCGGCAACGATGCCTCACCCTCCATCACTCCCGACAGAAAACAAACTCCATCGCCCACTCAATCGGCCAACTCATCCGCCGTCAATGGCTACCAGGCCACTGGCATTGGGCGCAGTCGGTCCAACGATGGCCTCGGCCTCGGTGCCGGTATCGATGCCAACACCGTTGCCGCTCTGGACCACGAGCTCGAGAGCAGTCTCGAATGGATCAGCCACCCTGCCGTCTTTGGCCGCGACAGTCGCAAAGCTGTTCTCCAAGCGATTGGAGTGATCAGCTCCCAGCGAGCCTTCACCTTCCGCACGCCGATTGAATCCCTCTGGTCTGGTCGCGTGGCGGGTGTGAAGAAGCTCACCAGCAAGAGCCGTGAGTGGCGCGAGGAGGGTGGCGGCGAGGGCGGCATCATGGAGGAGGCCTAAGTGACCTCCTCGATATGCCATACTTTTCTCTGATTAAATGGGAACACTTGGACTGCCTGAACGACCAGGCGGCGGCGTATTGGTTCCTTGGGAAAACACTTTCTTATGGTCGTTACTTGGCACGGGCTCGTCTTTGCCAACAATCATACCCCCTGATCTACAGCTGATTTGTTTTTTGTTACCGATATAGCTGCTTTGCTCACGTCTTTACCGCACCGCAGCATGCTTTGCCGGAAAGATACCACAAATGTTTTTGCTATTTTTATTCCTTTATTACCTACTATGTCTTCGAGCACGCTTTTTTTGTCCTGCGAGACAACTCGTCGTGCCGTCGCATCTCATGAAAGCTTCCTCGCGCTGCCACGTCACCGAGAGCCTTACAAATCATGTAATTTCGCTTCTTATTGTCATGTCACTGATGTCTGGAGAATGGGAGGAGGGAAACTGGATGACGGGAGAGGGTAGTGGGCTCGGCTGCGAAAAAGCATGCTTCTTGTACATGTTTGGGAATGAACGACACGGACGTGTGGAAGAGTAGAGCAATACTACTTGCTGTTGACATGCCACATCAGATCATTGCCTTTTGTGACTTGAGTGAATGTGGCCGTTGCTGAGCGGATGAGTCTTGAATTTCAGCAACCACGCTGAGTATCTGTTGGTACGGCTGTCGAATATACATCGAGTCTTGGCTTGATAAATTCTTTTCATTTAACTGAGCTGAACTGGTGGGACTTCACAGCCCCTATCCCAACTGCGATGATACTGCAGTGACAACAATCAGAATCCGAGTCACTCTGGCATGGGCATCACGGGAAAGGACTTGTTTGAAAAACACAACACGAGTTCCAGTCTATAGCTGCGAGCTAGGCACATGTAACTTCAAGACATACTCCCCCATCTAAAACCTGTTTTTTCTGCCCCTTTTCTTGTTTTCCTTCTTCTTGTTGTCGCCGCGAGACTCCATGTAGCTTCCGACTCTAACTCGTGAAGGTGACAAGAAGCTGCAAAGTTTGGTTCATTGCGTCAGACGGAAAGTTCGTCGTGCAGGTAGAGGGAGGTAGGTAAGGGCGGTAAGAGACTTACTCTATTCCTTCTTGTCGGTGGCCTCGTACTTGTCCTCGGGATAGGGTCCGAATTCGGTGGTCTGGCGCTTCTCCTTCTTGCCGTTACCCTCATACTTGTCCTCTGGGTAGGGGCCGAACTCTGTAGTCTGGCGCTTGGAGTTCTTGCTCTCGTACTTATCCTCCGGGTAGGGTCCGAACTCGGTGGTCTGGCGTCTAGAGTTTTTGGCTTCGTACTTGTCTTCAGGGTAAGGTCCGAACTCGGTCGTTTGACGCTTGGAGTTGCTGCTCTCGTACTTGTCCTCTGGATAAGGACCAAACTCGGTTGTCTGGCGCTTCTCCTTCATGTTGTTGCGCTCATACTTGTCCTCGGGATAGGGTCCGAATTCCGTAGTCTGACGCTTCTCCTTCATGCTGTTTCCCTCATACTTGTCCTCGGGATAGGGCCCAAACTCGGTGGTCTGTCGCTTCGAGCTCTTGCCCTGGTAACTGTCTTCAGGGTACGGACCGAACTCCGTGGTCTGGCGTTTCGTTCTGCCCTCGTACTTGTCCTCAGGGTACGGGCCAAACTCTGTCGTCTGGCGTCTTTGGTTGTCCTTGCCCTGGTAGTTATCTTCAGGGTAAGGACCAAATTCTGTAGTCTGACGCTTTCCATTCCCCTGTCCCTGGTAGCTATCCTCGGGGTAGGGACCAAACTCGGTCGTCTGGCGCCTCTGGCTCGCCTTACCCTGGTAGCTATCTTCAGGGTAAGGGCCAAACTCGGTAGTCTGGCGCTTGCTGTTCTCCTTGCCCTGGTAACTGTCCTCAGGATAGGGACCGAACTCGGTGGTTTGGCGCTTCTCCGGAACGGCGAGCTTGGCACCCGGGGCGGCGGCGGCAAGGCTTGCGGCGAAGGCAAGGATGGCGGTGACCTTTGTCATATGCATGATGGCGTTTGGAGTTATGAGAGGAAGGATGAATGTTGCTTGAAGAAGGTTGCTAGAGGCAAGGTGAAGACTGAAGATTTTGAAGAAGCTTGGAAGACTGTGAAGGTGTTTGACTTGATGAGTGAGTGAAGAAACCTTTTGCTGTTTCCGGGATAGATTGCACCCTTAAATATCCATTTTTCTGTTCAACTTCGCTGTCGAATCGGCTAACAACTCATCAGTAAAGTTGTCGCTTCGTTCAAGATTCAGAGGCCACGCCATCGGTCCGACGGATACGGGTGCTTTCGTCACTCGACGCCCTGTCGTGAACTTCCCGTTCGTGATAGCGTCAACGCGTCGTCACTCTTGCTGTTCGTGATACTACATACTTCCGAGTCCACAGAAGAACTACAGCTCGATCGTATGACTCGTTGATCCGTTCAACCTTTTCCAAAGATCGAAAGTCAACGCATCGCCGCCCGTCGACGAGAATAAGTCGAGATGATTGCGTCTCCCATCGGGAATTCCAAGTTGACAAAGTTTGAACTTCGGGGATCGAGATCATCATGAATCCAACCTTTGAAAATCTCAGAGTTTTTCGTTGCTCAAAAACAACTCTAGGCATGAATCGTCAGTTTCTCTCAAGTCCCATAGGAAGCCTCTCGATCGGGCATATAAGGCGGATATCCGTCGGGCCCACGGTGCTGGTCTTAGCGTTTGCGATTCCTGACCATAAACTTCTTCTCTAACCTCTTTCAGTCAATCCCGTTCTAACATTCCCCCTCTTTACACAATGGCTCTCAAGCAATTCTTGTCCATGTCCTTCGCCGCGGCTATCCTAGCGGCACTCTTCTCCGCAAAGTCTCGGTCCCAGGAGGAGCTCCAGATCCCACTCGGCAACTCTTGCCCGCGCCCGCGCTATACAGTACGGACGTTGTCATATGATCCACTCATTCAGCACATTGAGAACTTTATCACCCCAGATGAGTCCCAATACCTGCTGCAGATTGCGTACGTCAGAGCTCCTTCATATTGCTGAAGATTCGGGGTCTACTTGCTGACTGACTCGATACAGGCAGCCTAGGTTCCAGCGGTCTCGCGCCATCGGCACTGACGGGCGATCCATTGCTGCGCAAGAACGAACCAGTTCCACAGCGTACCTGTCTTCGGATGATTTTGTCGTCCAATGCATCAGATCCCGCGCTTCGGAGTTTCAGGGCTACGTAGACCTTGACATGATGGAGGATCTGCAAGTGACGCGGTACTTGGAGGGGCAGCAGTACACGAATCACTATGACTGGGCAGCGAACCCCGCGGCGAGAAACCAGACGACAAACAGGGAAACAACCTTCTTCGCCGTTCTCGATGTGGAGTGTGCCAGCTGCGGGACACGGTTCCCTAAGATCTCCGTGGACTGGGGTGTCGAGGATGAGCGGTGGTGCAACCTGGTCGACTGTGCGGCCCAGACAGAGCTGACAGTGCGAGCGGTCGCCGGTAGTGCCGTCTTCTGGCGGAATCTCCATTCCGATGGGACCGGAGATTCTCGAACGCTACATGCCGGCCTTCCGGCGGTAGGCGGCAAAAAGATCGGGTTGAATATCTGGACACGCCGGGAGGTTTAGTGTGCATGTGAGGGGGGGGGGACTACCTATCTCCCCGGGATATTGGACGTTTCGAAACAGCGCACCAATCATCTTTCACCCTTTTGACTCCGCTTTGTCACACGTTCTGTTAGCCTTTAGACCTTGTTTGTCCTGGTTAATCAAGATCTATCTACAAGGGCCACAAAGTCTACATGCTCAAATTCGTACTCCTCTCACATGACACCTGCTAGTGAATGACACAAATGGAGCTCTCTCTAAAGGCTCCGGTAAAGGTTTACACTAGTGCTTTCTAGATCGCGGCCATCTACACGCGGAAGACGGCAGCCCCTTTTTAGACTTTTGGGCAGAAAGATGGTGGCATGAACCATGATGATATTCAGCGCGTAGTTTGTGAAGGGCGGTATCCCATTGGGTACATCGGTAATAGCGGCTATTTTGGCTCGAATCATTGGACGCGGCCGCTAGAGCCAACTCTTACGGAGCCCAAAGCTTGTTTGTGGTTCCCGAAAGCTTCTTTTCTGGTAGACGTACGCGCTAGCAGGCATCAGACTCTTGAAGATGGGGAAAGGACGAGGGCCATATCGCACCTGAGTAGCTCGGAAGATCGACACGTACTAGAGAGAGCTCGGATTGCGAGGAAAGGAACTACCTCGTGCCCTGCCGTGCCGATATCTGTACAACAGCAACAACAACAGTCTGAACGAATCTGCTTCTCTCTGTGATCTCCCACCTCTCGAGACCTGCCTCATCTTTCAAACTGACATTGGCCATTCCTCGTATCGTAAAACGTCTTGTCTAACTTTTGCAATGGAAGAAAGCAAGTTGCTTGGACGCAACTCCTCCTCGGACGGTGATACGGATTCTTCTGAATTTGTGGATGCCTTGGAGCGGGGCTCTATCCGCAAGACCTCCATGTCGCGTTGGGAGATGTTTCGTTGCTGTCTTGAGATTATCCTCATTCTTTGTCTTCTGGGAACGACCACTACGGTGTTCAGACAGAACGCTGGGCGACACGAAACGGCGGCTTGGCCGGCGGGGAGCGACTACAATCACTTTGTCCCACATGGCAAGCCACACTTCTTTACCTCATGAATGACGCTGACCTGCAGAGCAGATGTGAGCTCGAGAGGGGTTCCTAAGCCGTCTGGCCCTGATCAGTACGAGGTCACTGCCCATGCCTTCCATGACCAGAGTGTCCTAAACGAGACTCTTGATTCTTGGCAAGGTCTCTCCCACGGTAAGCATCTATTGAAGCAGGCTTGAAACACCAACTAACGAGACTACCAGCCTTTGTCCGGGCCTCCCCATATGACGGCAGCGGGCCTCAGAAGCTGTTTTCAGGTGACTTGTTCGAGATTGCAGCTTTCCATCAGATCCACTGTTTGGTAAGCCATCTCATAGATCTTTCATTCTTCGCACTTCTGACGCCCGAGTCACTAGGCATCAATCCTGGAGGACTTTGGTCTCTTGGCTGCCGGCGTTCCTAAGGAGGAGCTGCCTGGTTATCATAGCGGAGTCACACTAACGTGGGAGGAGCACAAGGCGCACTGCTTCAACTACGTCCGACAGGCTCTAATGTGCTTTGCTGACTCCACTGCCGAAGGCCATATTGAGGGTGACACGCACCGGGTAGCTGATCATGGGGTAATGCATGTTTGCAATGATTTTGATGCCCTACTGGCGTGGTCAAAGGAACCCGAGCGAGCATTGCCCAAGAGTTGGCGAGTGACAGATTAAGGATAATAAGAGACAGTTTGTAGCAGACAGATTCGTAGTTGTCGCACAACTTACATACGTTCTCTTACCTGGCTTACTTTGCGCCTTGTGATATGTTGATATTGCTACCAAACGTACGGGTCGAGTGTTGTTATATATGGCAAGAATAGCGGAATGCAGACTATGGTGTTCAAGGCTCTTATTCAGTGGCCGTTTAGAGATTAAGTTTGGCGCCTATTAGATATCAGACTCAAGTGGCTCAGTGACAATCTCATATCCCCGCTATGAGAGCACAACAGTCATATACAGTCATAGTGAAAAATTTCATTTGTACGGCCAGAAAAAAGCTTTGTTGTACTAGTCTCAGTCTAGCCACTTTGTCTGGTTGTACGATCCCTAGTCTCACCCCATGTGGGAGTGTCCATGGACGTGACCAGGCACACCTTCCTTCGCCTTTCCCGGAAACATTCTTGAGAAGTGCCCACAGTCAGGGTACTGAATCTTTGCCCTGACCTCAATGTCATCCGGCTCATTGATCCTCGTCAGAACCTGAGTACAGTGCTGCGTGTGCGTCAAGACGTCCTCGCGGTGAACCATGCGATTCTCAGTCAACGCCTTGTGGAACCGGAGAATGTTGTATGCGCAGTGCGTTTTGTGAAGCCTGTTGGTAAGGTAGACGGGCTGAGTGTCAGAGCCGAACTGCTCCTCAGTCACAGATGCTGTCTTGTTCTGGTCGGTGTAGAACACCCACGGCCCGGCGTTGCGGAACTTGTCCGTCAGCTCACGGTCGAAGCACTCGTCTGGCACCCAGCAGAACGAGAGCACGTCAAAGTGACAACCGAGTGCTTGAGCCTCACTGGACGAGTTGCCACAAGGGTTCTCGATGATGCCTTGGGCGTTGGTGCGAGAAGGCGGGACGATAGACTGGAAGACCCAAGTGACGGAGAAGGCAAAGATGATGCTCAAAGCTAGACCGATGAGGAGCTTGGAGAGAACCTCGCGCTGGTAGCGGCGCTGAAGCTCTGATGAAGAGAAAACAGGAGTTTCCTTTTCGTGCTCATCCTCGGTGAGCATGGGGCGGGTGCTATCTTCACTATCGTAAGACATGGTGTCGTTGAAATGATGAGATTGAAGTCAGACGTGTGAGTGATATTCCTGAAAATCCTTTGCAAAGGCGATGTGAGAGCAAGACTTTGAGACTGTCTACTGCGGTGATCCGATGAGGCGACCTTTGGCATTTGGGTCCAGGGGCATTGCATCTATCCGATTTGACTCTACTTGGCCGTGTCATTTGCTGACTTTCTATGATATCTCATGACTCTTGCACGGCTCGGAAAATGAGAGAATCATCTACAACCGTACTTTACTACATGGGGTTTTGACTTTGGTTCTGTCTCCCGACGAAGAAGCTCAGCGCATAAATGCGCCGTATGCAAGATTCATAGTCTATACTTCAGCAAATTCCGCCGTTCCGCCATTGTGATGTATTTTCATTATTGAGGAGTACGATCGGCGATGGACTCCTATTCGAGAACCGAAGTCGAGTGCCGAACAGAGTCAACGTGACGATGTCAAGATCAACACAGCTCTGCCATTGAGTTTGTGTCGGTCCCATGTTTTGACTTTTGGCAGTCAAAGCTTCGACGGGAGGGAGTCGTCATTTGCACCCGAACTGCTCCACCCCGGACTGAGTCGCCAGCCAGAGACGGAAAAGCCAAACGACATCTGCGGGCGTTCGGCAAACCCGTTTTCGAAATAGTGCCTATTTTGATTTGTTTTTCTAGCAATTCGCACTCGAACGGCATTCTTTTGCCGGTATTGTGGTCAAGGATTAGATGATTTTTCTTGCCATTGGATGACACATTAGTCGTAGTGCACCCTGTGGCCGTTGCAGTCGGGGTTCATTAATCTCCAAGACCAGAACCTCCCTTTGATGAACCAGATGGTCACCCGTCACTCTTCTATTCTCCCAACATAAAGTTAAGTCACTATGAACTTCTTCAAGGCAGACAAGTCAACACAGTATGTGTCTGTAGAAGAGAGCTCGGAGTGTAGTGAAGACCAGCTGCCTCTGCGAAGGAGGCCCTCGTCACCGATTGTGTCGGTGTCTAGATCTTATTACTTTATTTCGTTGCTTTTATTTGCCATTTTTCCTATACTGGTCATTGCCTTGTTTGTTCTTCACACTCGGCTAGCGAGTGCTCGAATCGACAGCGGCTTTCTTAAAGGCTTCCCAACCGAGTTAGGTATGCCAGACAGTGTTCTCAAACGATAGGAAGATCACGAGCTGACATGAAGATTTACATAGAACCAATCAAAGGTGTACTTGCCAGTGAAACAGTACGTTTCACTGGCGGCCTTCACTTCTACAAGAATGGAACCTTGTACCGTGAGGTAATTGAAGGACAGCCTCAATATGTCGGGCCTCCATCGCCAGAGATTGATGCAGCATGGAAGAGTCTGCTGAAAGGTGACTGGCCAAGAGAGTCCAACCTCGAACCACACTGACCATGTTCAGGCCAATACATGAACCTTGTTGGGAGCGAAGCATCGAGCATGGTCGGGCGCACGTGGAAAGACAGCCATGGGAACTATGAAGTGGCGTAAGTTTCGCATTCTTACTAGTAGACTTTTCGGTAATGGACTAAGAATTTTCTAGTCTAGATGTGATGCATACCCTCCATTGCGTGGTAAAGTACCTCAGGCCCGTGATATGTCTGCCGCGATGACTAACACGTCGAAGAACAAAGTGAGGATGGCTCTGGATCCAGATTATTACAAGGAGGAGGAAAGCCCTAGAATTCATAGGATGCACGTCGGTAAGCTATGTTCCTGTCCTAAACTTCAAAAACAGTGCGGCTAATGGCAGCGCTAGACCACTGCCTTGACTATCTTAGGCAGACGGTACAATGCCACGGTGACCTGACTCCCATGGTTTTCAGCTGGTCGGATGATGCTGGCAGGGTTGTTGCCGACTGGAAAGAACCTCACACATGCCGCAACTTTAACCGTGTTCGCAATTGGGCTGAAGACCACTTTCGGCCATGAACCACGTATTGTACACATGTTACTCAACCCATTCATACGGTTTATTCCACAGCAAACTTTATCTCAAAGACCGTTAAAAGGCTCTCGTTACATATCCAAGATCTAGGAACGAATCTGAAGAAGTATTTATTTCTAGTTTATAGACAACGTACTAGTAGAACGGAATAGTATTCGGGTTTAAATTTATAATCTTAACCAAACTCTTATTCTGCCTCTCTATAATCTTCCTATTATTGCTAACCTTACTATTCTTGTGTTTATATTGCATTATATAAGTCAAAGCACCCACTTATAGGCCCCCCCCCCTTTTAGGCCCCCCTAACAAACATAGTATTAAAACATCGCCACTAACTACACTTAATTAATTAACTATCTTTTACTACTATAATAATATAGTCATTATTCTCCCTAAATAATTCGACCCTTACGAGTTAATTAGGACTAACTAAATAATCGCTAAAGTCTTCCTAAGCCTTTTATATATTCTAAATACTTATAAACTTAATATTTAGGTCTATTAATATACTCTTCTTTTTCCTAGGCCTCATGCGCTCAACCCTTACCTCTAAAAATCGAATTTAATATTAAAATATAGCTAAGTAATAAGCCTACTTACTAAATACTTTTTTTACCTTTCTAAATAGTAATTGTTAAGTAATATTGTCTAAACTAAGCTCTATAAATAGCTTTAAGTAGTCGCTAAGCTCGCTAGCCTTCTTAGGAATTAACTAGTTAATAATAGAGGTTACTAATACTTAGTTAAGTAGTTTACTAATAATACTAGTTATCTACCTAGCTTCTATACCCTTTTTAAATAGTATAATTTATATAAATAAAACTATTAAGTTAAGAAATAGCTTAGCTATATTAAGTAGCTATAATCTAGTTACTTTCTACCTACTTTATATATTTAACGACGTTAAACTAGCTAAACGAGCGAGCTAATAATAGCTTAAAAAGTACTACTTTTTAATAATAATAAAATTATTTATTATATCCTCCTTACTAAGCTCCTTTTTATAATAAGATTTAATAAAACTAAAAATAGCTATATTTAATAGCTAGAGGATATAAGAAGTATATAATAATAAAAATAATAAATAAACGTTATTTCTATAACACTCTTATATAAATTCTATCGTTATATAACTCCTATACCTATCTAGTACTAATAATTAAAACTAATTTAGCTTACTAAGCCTACTAATAAGGGGGGTCTTAATCTATAATAAGAATACTTCTTTTAACTAGTATAGGGTAGTCTCGTTAGTTATCTAGCTATTATCTATTATTATAAACTTCTAATTATTATAAGGGTTAAATTAAAATAGAAACTACTATTATTATACCGACTTTCCCTTATAAATAACTAGTAAGTTAATAAATCTATTATTAATAAAAATATACTTAATAATCGTTACCTAGGTACGTAAACTAAGCTCTTTTTTTCGTACTATTATAGCCTCTACTATACCCAAAACTAGCCTATTAGCTCCCTTACCCTCTATTATACTAATCTTATTTATATTATACTTATTAGCCTATTTAATATTACTAATCTCTAATTTATTAAATAATCTAAACTATAATTTAATTATATTAGTAATAGTTTTATTAATATAGTACGAATTTATTAAATAATATCTTTAGACCCTTATTAATAAATTCCTTTTAATAAAAGCATTAATTTATCTCTTTCTAAATAGTTTAATATCCCCCTAAAATATTAAAACTCGCTTAGTAAATTCTCTAATTTATTAATAAGTTAGTATAATACCTAGGGCATACTAAATTCGAACTTACTAAGCTAGCTAGTTTTCTTATTATAAAAAAAGCTTCTAAAAGTCTACGAATACCCTCGCTCTTATCTAGTAGCCTTTCCTACGATTTTAAAATATTACCCTAAGAATTCCGAACTTAACCGAGGCTTTCTTAATAAAGAGACCGTTTTTAATAGTATAAAGAGCCCGTTAGAGCTTATTTTTAGTATATAAGACTATTATATATTAATTAATAATTATGCCAAAAAGAAATGCATTTAGACGATTTTTATAATTATTATAGTAGTTTATATATTAAGGGTAGGGTTTTAATTGGGGGGGCTAGGAGGGATTTTAGGGGGGCCCAAAAGGGGGGGGGGCCCATAAGTAGGTACTTTGACTTATGCTATTTGTTCTTTTCAAATAAATTCTAAGATCACTCTATGTCTATTTACAGTTTATAATCCGCCGATAGCAGTCTGCGCAATCTGTTACCAAGTTCGCCGGGTAACCAGAAGAAGTAAGGAAATAAACGAGCGGTCCAAATAGTGAGCCAAGCAATATTCTCTAAATTCAATAAGTAGTAAGCTAATTCTCGGTTGGCAAAGCAGCGGGACAATGGGACATGCCCTTTGCTAAGGTAGGCACCAGATATTGTAAAGCTGCTCATATCTACCCTTTTGCCGCATGATTGTGGCAAGCTTGAACGCTCTAATAAAAGTTTTCGGACGGGGGACGGCTCAAAGATTCATTGATGCTCTCAGAATGGTCTGCCTGGACTCTTGCGCCGATCTGACCAGCCTGGACCGTATTCCGCATTGAATGTTTGACGACGGCCGAATAGACCTGCAGCCAATTGATAGAGGCATCCATACGAACGGTGACCTCTCCATTCGGTTGCGTTGGCATTTGCTGCAGACACAGGCGAGACAATACGAACCACGCGCATGGACAAGTGATCTGGCGCAAGATCCCTATGAACTGCTGAGGGATTTCCAGCTTGCCGACGACGAGCCTCAAGAAATCTGCCTCGTTTCTTCAGTGACCCAGCGCGAAATCAGTGATGGCCACGAGTTTGATATCACTGCAAAGACGCAAGAAGATCTTCCCAATTGGGACCTCTTCGATCTTAGGTACCGCATTAGTCTGATGAACAATCTGATTGGCGCTGCCGGTATTTCAAATAAGGATATTGGCGAATCCAATGAAGAGGTATCTGATGAGGAGCTCGAAGATATTGATATGGTCGGAGATGCCATCAGGAAACTGGAGGAAATCGCGGAGCAGAGGCCGGAGGAGGCGGATGAGGATGATGTTGCCTGAGTGTTGAGACCCACGCACTTAGGCTGACGGGGCTTCTGACAGACAGTCGCAGTTTAATTCGATGATCAACGAGCAACGTGATCGTTCCGAAACGTATTGGCCGTCCTATTTCCTGTCCTAACGCTTCCGTGCGTCGTGTGGTGTCGTGATGTTTAGGCAGATTTTGTGGGGCCAGCTGGCTCAGGAACAGGCAACACCCGCCAACGGCTACAGGAACAAGGATTGAATGCAGCCCGTCGTCAAATACAAAAGCTTGTAAATTGAACCTCCTTTTCTGTGAGCTTTCCGAGAAGAAATTCATCATTTTGCACTTGCATACAAAATATTTTCAAGCTCCCATCTATTTGAATTCTGGCCTTCGAATGTCTTGACACCATCTCAGCCTTATGCACCATGTCCGGAAAATGCACCTCTGTCAACTCTTCCCAGCCACTTGCACAATTCTCATTGGCCATCTTCACCAGACTCCCACCCGAGCTTCAACTTGAAATTCTTTCTCACTGTCAGCAAAACGACCTCATCTGCATGTCCCTTGCATCACACTCTCTCCGCGCCATGATGCTTCCACTAATCCCAACAAAACCCTCGCTACTCTCCTACGACCAAGTCAACCCCCCAGAAACGATCAAGTGCGAATGCGGTGACACTTCAGCAATCGGGGTTGTCCAGGATAATTACTGGCATCGGAGAAAACGCCACGTCTACAAGTACGCCGAGCCTCCGAGAAGATGCTCAAACTGGACGCCCTGTCGATCGTATGCCGCCGACCACGCTATGTGCCGGCGGCAGTGGTGTAGGCACTGCTCGTGTACCACGTGCCCGCTATATGCAAGGCTTCGTGGGTCCATGGGAGACCTGAAATACTGTGCCGATTGCCGAAAGTTTACGAAGCGCCCTCAGACAAAGAAGTATAAGGGGAGATGTGAGTCTAATGTCGAGCAGCTTGAGTGCGAATAGCTGATGGCTGACACGATCCAGGCTTGCATGGCCGCCCCCGGGTTCGACGGAATCCAGACAATCACTGGACGGCCAAAAAGGGAGTGTCGTATGGATATCGCTGGTGGCGAAGGTGGGGCACTTGCGGTGCCGATGCATGGGGATATCCAGACGGGGACAAAACTGCGGACATTAGCAGAAGGAGGAATGCGAGAGTTGTCTAGAGAGTCGTTGGCTTTCCAGTTAATCCGATTTTAGGTTCACCATTACAGGTGTAGACTTACTTGCGTTACCTATGGGGTCACCTAGTAGTGCGTCGTGCCTTTTACAGCGAGACTTTAGACCTCTTCACCATCCGGGGCTTGTGGAGACTATTCTAGCATTTGCTTGTAACTAGTCATCGCTTTTTAAATATCAATACTACCACCGTCAGCAGGAAATGCTTTTCCCAACGAGCCCGAACCTTTCGCGGATAATGATGGTTTCATAGATGAATTTGCCGCCAAGTTACATAATGATCCTGTGGGTTATTCTGTAACACTTACGAAGCCTTCCGCTTTCTCTAGATTGTATTGCTTTTTTGTCGTCGTTCGGCCTCGGTAACTTGCACTAATCATACCTAGTAATGTATGTAGGTAACTGGGGTCAAGCTCCACTTACCGCGGCACCATCCCCAGACCCACATCCTGCTACCGACTGGCTGGCTACAGCTCCTGTTGACTTTTGGTGAAAGAGGGGCTATCGATGAACAAGAACTTGCCCAGGCGATGGTAGAATGAACGTACGATCTCAGGAAATGTTGCGCGTAGAACGTTGCTGGGACCACCCAGCGTCGAAAACGAGCTTTCAAAACCCACCTCAGGTATTGAAAAAGACAGCGGCTGCGTCTGGGAAAACCATAGCACAGCAAGGAGCTCAGAGCTTGGCCCGCTACCTCCTCATAACGATATGCCAATAAGATGATTACTCAAGCTCAAGTTCTCTCAAGCTCGGCACGCTCAGAGACTGCCGATTGGCTCGGCACATGCAGGATCGTTCACGTCGAGCTACCTAAGTCAAACTCTCTATTCCATCCCTGTGGTCGATTGGAGGACTCTCCCAGGGCAACTAGTCTCTGAAGGGCCAAAGAAAGAAAGAAAGAAAGAAAAGACAATTTCTACTGTGTAGTCATCATTATCATTTTCTGAAACCCTGGTGACTCGGAATCGAGTGGAGATCCGGGGTAACATGCGCCATGACCAGGGCCCGGCCATGCACCCCGCGGCTGGCAACCCCTCACCAGGAAAGGACAGGCGCCGGTGCCGTCATAGTTCCGGCCCCATGTCACGGCTGGTATGCTTCATAAATTCGTAACTTATTACTTTTTCCTCTCAGCCATCGATCTACGTTTCTGAATTATCTCTTCTTGTTATATGTTTTCCCCGTCACTGCCTTGTCAGTCAAAACAAACCATTCTCAACCATGGCACCCCCTCGAGATACCGGGCGTGTTCAATTGCCCGAGACCTGGAACCCCGAAAGCGTTTCATTTCCACTCCGAAAAGATCTGCCTAGCATTCCGGGAGCCCCAAAAGATGCTGCCTGGGTTTGGGGCGCTGAAGACAATGTAGCTACCATGGTTTCCTTTGCCGAAGGGTATTAGTGAGCTCATTAGCCGTTAGGTCGGCCGCCTCAATCTTCTCACCCGCGCCCGTGTGCTGGCTGCATCAAAAGCAATCAAAAGTGGCGAGGTCATACCGGTAAAGTACGAAACTCTGGAATCCCACCGGCACAATTTTATCTCAAAACGCTGGTAGCCTACCTCTCAATGTCCCAGGCCAGCCTGCCTTCAATCGAGAGCCCTTTGTCCACCACATCAAGACTCTGGCTCCTGGGTTATTTTACGATGACAACTACTACATGAACACCCAGAGCGGCACTCAGTGGGACGGCTTCAGACATGTATAAACCATCCCCCCTAATAGGTGTACTACATCTTGAATGCTGATCCACACCAGTTTGCTCATTTACCTTCTGGGACGTTTTACAACAATGTAGGGCACTCATATTCCTCTTGTTCTGTGAACCGTGATGAAATTGATCGAATACACTGTCAAAACAGACCAAGGGACAAGACATCGAGGGACCGGCCAGTAATCTGAAATGTTCAATTCACCACTGGGCTGAGCGTGGCATCGCTGGCCGCGGCGTGCTTCTAGATTTCTGCTCTTATGCGCATGCAAAGGGTCTTCATTTTGATCCATACGACACTTGCAGCATCTCTTATCAAGACTTGCTCGAATGCGGCCGAGCGCAGGGCATAGACATTCGGCCCAAGGCGCAAGGAGGCGACATTGAGATTGGCGACATCCTCTTCATCCGGAGTGGGTGGGTCGAGGCCTATCACAGCAAAAGTCCAACCGAACGCGCCCATCTGGGACTCAGGGGCCACAAAGAGATTAAGTTTGGCGGCGTAGCTCAAGAGGAATCTATACTTGACTGGCTGCATGACTGCTACTTTGCTGCTGTTGCTGGGGACTCGCCCACATTTGAAGCTTGGCCGACCAAGGCGGGTCAGTTGTGCTTTTCTTCCCCCATTCTTCGAATCAAGGGAATGCATGTGCTTGCGGCTGGGGATTCGCTGACTAAAAATATTAGAATACCACCTTCACGAGTATATCCTTTCCCTTTGGGGGATGCCTTTGGGTGAGATGCTCAACCTAGAAACATTGGCTCGTCGATGTCGTGAAACGAATCAGTGGACATTCTTCTTCACAAGCGCTCCAGCAAATTGTCCACGTAAGCATCATGTTTTTCCTCCATCAGCGAGCATTTTACTCACATAGCTTCAAGAGGGGGTTAGCAGCCATGTCAATGGCACTGCGATTTTGTAGTCATGCTCGCTCTACGACTGGACTAGACTCGACATGTTTGAAGCCGAGGTGGCCATTATAGACTGTTTCAGAGAGGAAGGAGGTTCAAAGCCACCTTCACTTGTGTTGCATGATTTCTTGTAATCCGATTTCTCTGTTCTGCGGCAATAAACAACGCCTTAGTGGAATATTGCATGTGTATATGGCCGTTGGCAGAGCATTTTCCTCCCTTGATGTAATCTTACCAGAGTACGCTCGTAACCTGCTCCCTGATGTCCACGTTTCCTATGTTATTGTCGGATTGGAAGTCCAATTCGACCGCGGCATACGGCCAACTGCGCAGGGGCCAATTGGGGGCCCTATTTACGATTATCGTAGCCAGCCCAACCTACGGTTGGAACCTCCTTTTTACACCTACGCAGAAATTCATATAGTTCAATTGATCTCTTCGTCAACCCACGGTTCGAACCAACTACCCTGTAATAGGGATACCAACAGTTATACGTGATAGTCTGTCCCATCGTATTCCGATTCAAGATGCACGATGTTCGAGACAGATTTGCTGCTTACGAGCAAGAGAAACTCAGCAAGCCGAGGGTATTTGCACAATATTTTGCGCCTAGCGGTCAATGACTTACATATCCAACGCTTTGATCTATCTGACTTATTGTGTGACCGAGGCACGGCAACGTGGGGTGGATCCGTTGCCGGCGGCCGCTCGCCAACTTGGCACAGGTACCGAGGCGTCTAAGGCCACTCGGCTGTACTTGGTCCCTTGCAGCTTCATCGTTTGATTAATCGGTACACGTTCGGATAGACGAACGTTTAATGTCTATACCACTGAAAACGCATAATAAGTTCCAGTGCACTTCTTAGTCCTGGCGCATAGCTGTGGTCTGCTAATCAGTGTCTTTCTGATCCATATGGGTACTTGAGCGTCGCAAAATGAGAATCGAGGGAAGAACATTTATCGTATCCGGCGGGTAAGATAGGGATTTTCACAGAGTTCTGAGCCACGATTACTGACCTCTGGCACAGCGCATCCGGTTTGGGACAGGCCTGCGTTGAGCACCTCGTCGAGAAAGGCGGCCATGTGGCTATCTTGGACATATCTCAAGACGCCGGTGCCGTCCTTGTGGACAAGCTGGGCTCGCAAACGAAATTCTTCCCGTGCGATGTGACACAAACCGAATCTGTCACAGAAGCAGTCAATGGTGCTGCACAATGGAGTGCGCTAACTAAGATGCCGCTTGGAGGTGTCGTTGCCGCTGCTGGTGTAGGCGGGCCTGCCACTGTGAGTTGTCCCTCTTAACTGCAAGGAATGGAGTACTGACGCGACTTTTGACAGATCCTAGACAGACACGGTGCCCCTTTCGACCTCAAATTGGTCGATTGGGTGCTGAACGTGAATCTTCGAGGTACTATTGATCTAGTGCGACAGTCAGTAGCCCAACTGGCCAAGGTTGAACCAATCGAACCTGATGGAGAGCGTGGAATCGTGATCATGGTTGCCTCATCAGCCGCTTTCGACGGCCAGAAGGGACAGGTGTCGTACGCGGCCTCCAAGGGCGCAATCACGGCAATGACACTACCCATGACCCGGGATCTCGCCCGATTTGGTATTCGGGTTGCTACTATTGCACCTTCGCTTTTTGAAAGCGCCATGACATCGCGCATGACTGGCAAAGTTCGGACAAGCTTGGAGTCTGCCATGGAGTTCCCCAAGCGGGCAGGACAGCCAGACGAATTTGCAGCAGTCGCCGTACACCTGATTGAAAACATCATGCTCAACGGGACGGTGATCAGACTTGACGGCGGCATGAGAATGCCGAGCAAGATGTAACTTGATAGCCAGTATGCAAACGGTTCGCTTGTAGTGTGCCGAGAAACGAATACAACCTACCTTACAAACAGACATCCTACGACCCGAAATGGATCAAGCTTCCGTGATATGAGACAGGTGTGCACAACAAATGACATATGATGCGTGATTACAGCGCTTCGAATGGCAGAATTGCCTTGGGGAGAAGATGAAGCTACCCATGAAGGCAGCCTCCACCAAATATAGTGCCTGACTTACCAGCTATCATCCATGACTGTGATGTTTTGAAATGGCTCCCAGCCAAGCCCCCTAATAGAAATAGCTGGGTCTAAGTGGGGATAACATCTTGCTACTGAGTTGATCAGTGCGACGAGCTGAGATTCCTAAACGGACAATTTCACCAATAATAAGTCCAAGATGAGAAGCACGAATACGAGAAGACAAATATGCCCAAGTCTTCATTAATGAGATGAATGAGAAAGCGTACCAGTACACTTCAGGCGCTTTGCTAATGTTATAACGCGTAATACTCGCATTCCCTCCATGATAGCCTGCTTTCTTACATTTGTTGGAGCGGCACTGGTGGAATACCTGACTGCGAACTATGATTGGCCACAGAATTAATTCCTCGCCCTAATAGGCAATACCACTATCCTAGAAAGTACACCAATATTGAGAACACCCATTGGATGTGGCTGTCGCTCGAATGTCGTTTCGTGGCGTACTTTGTGATATTTAAAATAGTTACGCATTTATCGCGAATCGCACTTCAGTTGACCCATGTCCGGCTGCGGTGGCTTTGCATTCAACCAGATGGTATAAGCTCGACAAAATAGGAGCAATCCGTAGCAAGTGCTGGGTTTTGCGTGGTGCCGCGGTTCCCTCAGCGGCCCCGCTCAAATTCGGTCCAGGCCTCCGGCAGTGGGGGACTTGGGAGCCGATTCTGCACCTCTCGGCATCCAACCCACTGGCCGAGTTTGATCTCTGTCTTGAATAAAATGAGCCGAACCTCGGCAGGACAACGAATGATAGAGCTTACCAGGGATCGCGGCCATGGAGCGATGCTGCCGAGCACGATGGGGCGAAACCCCTCTCTGAAGCTGCTCTGGTTATTGGTAGACCAGCGTGACTAGGAATTCGGCTGCTTGGAGGTCTGGTATCCTTTATGATGAAGCAGCCAGTCAATCCGAAATTCTGAACCAATGCCACCAAGTACCACAACATTACAAGAAAGCCGCGGAGTATTGGCTTGGAAAGCATCCCCGGAGTATTGGCCGAATCATGAGGCAAAACAGAGTCGCACATCCAAGTGAATATTTGGTAGTCAATTGTTCGCGTTCTGCAGCGGTAATAGATTCACCAAGCCGAGGCTTTGCACAAAAGTCCTTTTGCCTCTTCTGGCGTGCACAGGCAATTCCAGTTGGCAACTTCACGGGGCAGATGAATGGTCCCGTTGTCCACCTTACCTAACCGAGTTCTCACATATCCGCCAAGGGTATCTTTATCCGTGCTTCCGTATCTGAGTACCTTGTTATCGAAGAAAGTTAATTCTTTCTGAGTCACAAGTACAAGAATACAGTTTTAATAAAACAGTGTAGTGCCCACCCAGCACTTGAATTGAGATGCTTTTTCAAGCTTGCCAT